CCTAGGATTACTTCTGCAGGTATTCCAACTAGTCTATATCTGTGATAATGTAGAGTAAAATTTTCATACTGTGCTTGTCAAGTACTTACTTACCTCTTATCAGGACAACTGATGTCAGAACTCCTGCCCTAAAACTAAGTCAATGGAAAAGATATGCTAGTTTCCAAAACATGCCTTTAAAGTGTACTCCCCCAAGTACTCCACATAATGAGTTGAAATAAATGATTAGAATTCATGTACATTCTAAGTATTAACACAAAAGATGGAAACAATCAGTGATGACAATACGATAGCACTGGAAAGAAAACAGTATTTCATTATCCCATGTCGTTATTGTTGTAACTTCAAGGCAGTTGGCTTCAAAATCCCACTACTCGTTTATTTATTCAGCTCAAAGATGATGACCTTGAGGATGCAAATACAGGGAAACAGATTTAGGTAAGAAGTTGGCTAATTCCAGGGGAAAAAGATAGATACCTTGGATCTAATAGAAACTCTTTTGGAATGTAATTGATGCCCACTCGCAAATCTGTTGCAGCTCCAAGATCAATGATCTTGAATATACGAGTACCTGCTTCAGTTTTAATCAGGAGAGAGATCATTCACTCTGTTAACAGAAGATATCAGCTAACATGTTATCAACTTATTATGAACATGCTGCAATTACCTTCAGAAAAAATAACATTTTGTGGTTTAATATCTCTATGGACAATCCCCGTTGAATGAAGACCATCCAATGCAAATAGGAGTTGTCTCATGATTGTCTGAATGATTCTATTTTCCCTTTCCAACCCCTTCGGCAAGTCCTGGACCTCTCCAAGAATAATTGCTTCAACCTGACAATATGTAGTCATCATGAGATTGGATTTTAAAGCAAAACCAGCTCATACATTTCCTAGGAATTGACTACAAAAATGAGGCAATCAGCCAGTGACTGGGCGAGGATACATTTGACTCTCTCTCAGCTTTGTAATTGATCAACATATAAAACAGTTACATCACATTAATAAAAACAAACTTGACCACATAAGTCTCCAACTTTTCAAAGGAAGCATTGGTAGTTTGATTTCAAAACAGAAACTGTAATTAAGACAACTGTATTGCAAAATGTTAGAATAATATCTGAAATTTTGCCAAAATCTCTAATGAGAGAAAGTACCAACATTGTAGGGAAACTCTCTACTCTGAAACAAATCTGCCAGTGTTGCTTCCCCTTCAAACCGCCATATGAGCCAATATTCGCCTGCTTTCTTTGAAGAACTCTGATATCATTACATGAACTGACTTTAATAAGACAGCAGTAACTAACTCGTGTATATTATTAGTTCATGAAGCTAATCTAATATCTTCATTCCTGGCGAAAAAGATACCCTTAATTCATATGACAACAGTACTAGACATTATCGAGAAACACCTCAAGAAAGCCGTACACGAAGTCAGCACAGCAACTCGCACAAGCCCTTCGCGCGCGTTCATTCATCCAAATCTCCACTGCACCATATTCAGTAGCCTTTTTCAAGACTAAATCACCTTCCTTTTAGCAACCACCAAAAACCATATATTACTATGCAGTCATCAAATTCCAAAACAACTCCTAGGGATGTTAACCACGCATTTCACAAATAGACAAATAAAGTGCATATCATATATACCTATTAATCCCTACTCAAACATGGAATTTCCCAAGTTTAAACAGCTCACTAGTTGACTGGATTATTGAACTATGGATAAATAGTCCAAACATTTAAATGACTGAAGTCCCGAATGCAATCTTATCTTCATTTCAGGCACCAGTGCTAATTCATAACATATGAGAATAAACCCCCAAATAAAAACAAAAACAAAAACATTGAGAAACAAAAAATTCAAAGAGGAATTTTGTCAAACACAGCTTACCTTAGAGGGGTTCTTAGCCAAGGAAGCTCTGTAAACCACTCCAAAAGCTCCCTCCCCCAACTTCTTCCCCAATACAAAATCATTCTGTCATCACACAACAAAACTTCAAATCCAAAGCACCACAAAATTCCCATTACCACCAATGAAAGAAACAATAAATGACAAACTAGAGCAATTAACATACCTTCCTGTAAGTGGGTCTGAAAAATCTCTCAACAAAAGCAAGAACAAACATATCAAAGAAGCCAGGAGCCACACCAGGGGTAGCCCAGAGGTAAGACAGAGTACCCAAAGCTAAAATCGTTCCAGGAACAGTGACTGTGAGACCATTTGATTTGGGCAGTGTGCTTCTGTATATTATATCCCCACACTCCATAACTGTACATGGAAGTCCAACCCCAACACCCACAAAAAGATCATGAACAAAATGGGTCCATTCGACTCCAGAAGCCGAAACTACAAGTGATTTGGACTTTGAACTGGGAATTTTTCTATATGGTATTGATTTTGGTAAGGTTTTGAGCTCGAGCTTCTTACCCAGAAATGAAGATACTGGTTTGTGGTTAAGAGTGTGGAGCTTCACTCCTCCTAGTCCCCCACCTGTGGCAACTGTCGCCATAGCAACAGCTACAATCTTACCAGTTACAACTGGAAGAAAAAGCTATCAGCAAATTCTCTCTCTCTCTGAGACGCACACACAATTTCAGACACACGTACACCCTTTGATCTTTATTTTTATTTTTATTTTTGTTCTTTTCCGTTTTATAATGACGGTTATTTTAGGTATTTTTTGTGGAGGGAAAGGCTCGACTGGATTGGTGGCTAATGTTGGCCACGAATGACACGTTGGTCTCCCCTTATTGGGCCAGGCCAGAGAGAATAGTGATGGGCTGATACAAAACAAGAGGTAACGTGGCCCTGTATCTTCTTTTGATACAAATTCGTTTTATTATTTTAATAAATAATGTGAATTAAAATCCACTATTTATTATTGTAATTGGAATAAAAAATATAAATATTTCAATATATGATAAAATTAAGTGATAAATGGGTATCGGTCCTATTTACGACACTAAACATGTGCAGATTCTATAATTTTGGGGGCCTTAAAATGGGCCCAAGCATAAATTGCATCAACAATTGGGTTTGGGTTGGGAAAAAGTCTGGCTAAAGACTTACAACATTATGTAATGTTTAACCTGGCCCCAATGTAATTTATGGTCAACTTTGAAAAATACATCTCAATGCACTTGGTCTGATAAAATTACTATTAATTTGCATGACTCTTTTATATTAAACAGGTATGCCTCTCCATCCAAGTGATTGTTAGAAAAGGAGATTTCGTGTCAATATTTACAAATTACAAGTTATTGGAGGGAACTAAAGCAAAACTATACAACTAGCTGCAAGACAAAGAGAAGACTTTTGAGAATAACTTGCAATTCTTGGAGAAAAATTGAATTAGATTTGGTACGAATTGAAGTTTTAAAATATTTGATTTAGATCCAATGAGTGATGTTTGAGAGCTTTCCAAACTTCATGAGAAGGAGTATTACCAATGATATGAGAGATTGCATTTGAAGATAGAGTTGCATTAATCAAGGTCTTGATCTTGTACTATCCAAGTAGTGTATTCAGGATTAATCTCAGCACTAACAATTGCTCCAGTATATTTATCTGAAATCTCGAAAGATCCATCAACAAATCGGAGCAGTGAATATGCTCTAAGCAAATAACTTATCTGGAATTTCCATTGCACAAAATTTGTAGAGTTAAGCCCAAGTGAAATCAAGTTGCAGATATTCGATAAAAGATAAATTAGAGCTTGAGAAATCGATTGAACTAGACGAACAGATTGAGCTTAAGGACTGATCTGCCATTGTTGAGACGTAGGTCTCTATTCAAGCTCTGATACCATGAAAGATTAACACAGAAATGGAAGAATGAAGAAGAGAGAAACAGAAAAAAGAATGTCTTCCGTTGATAATCCATCCAAAAAAGGGGAAGATTGAACTTGAATCACCTTTGTTTTGACTGTAGTTTGAATTTCTATGGACAAAAATACCTTATAAGTTTTTAAAATTAAGAATACTTTTTAGCTTTTGATTTTCATTTCTCTGTCACTTTTTTATCCATTATGTAGATAATTAAAACTTTATTTCCTTCGAATTAAATACATAAATTTATATATGTTTGTCTAGAACATTGCATCAAATAAATTCAACCGAAGTCCACTACTATTACAGCGTAAATTTGTTCCAATTTGATTCATACAAGTTAGAGAGAGAGAGAGAGAGATGAAAAATTATATCAAACAGACCAACACAACACAAATCTAGTGTCGTTACACCATACTTGCACAATAGACACAGCTGATGTTTTTTGAGTTTGTGGTAGAGTATGCATTCGACTTATTGGAAAGTGATATCCCATCACATTATTAATGCATTGTCACTGTTCAATTGAATATTTCTTACAAGATGTCTAATATTTTTATTTCACCCCTCTTATCTCTTATCAACAAATACAAAGGAGAGAAAGAAAAATTTTTCTATTGAATGGTTGAAAATGTATAACTCTCACTTTCTATAGTTACATATTTTTGTCCCCCTTACCAATCGAGTGGTTAAAGTCGCGGGTTCAAATATTATTTTCGTCATCGATTCCCCGTAATTATGTTTGACCAGGAAAAAAATAACTGCACAATTTGAACGCCACTATTCAGAGAAACAGACCAGTTGGAATCCAAGGAACATCAGACTAAACAAAGGAGAGAAAGTAATTACAAATATTAAATCAAACAACATGAATATATTGAATTAATAATAAACAATATCAACAACAACAAAAGTAGTTGAAAAAGTAAATGAAAGGGAAGCCTACACCTTGGACAGCTTCCACCAACAAATAACAAAAAAAGTAGTGACACCATGACAAAGATTGGCATCGAATCTTCACAAACCCAACCACCACAATGTTACAATGCACCATTCCGCGTTATGTTGTCCTTTAGCGTCTTTTCACCTCATCATTTTTTTTGTCTCCTCAATTATTCTGAACAACTGGATCCCCGTGTCATGAGTTTGTTGTGATCCTACGCATCATCAATCGTCGGAGAACAACGGTGCATGCCGGAATAGATCGTACGGTGTCCAAAGACTATCCAACGGACACGGTCTCTTGGAGTCAAGTCTCAGCCATGGCTTGCCCTTCCCACTCCAATGCAACAAGCTTACCGGACCAGGGTGTAGATCTCTACACAAACCTTCAAGATTATCACCACCAAGCCCATGTTGGTTCCACCTATGCTCAACCCCTTCAACATTCCCAGCAAAAACTAGCAAGAATGGTGGCAAAGAACCCAGTTCATATATTCTATTACTCTTCTGAATCCTCATCCATTGTTCGAGCTTCTGTGTGTATCCATGGCTTCTCCATTTTAGCAAATCTATTACCATCACACCCGTGTTGAAATAACATGGCTTTCGACCTTTAAAGGTTCGGGAAAATTGAGGGATTGACCAGAATTTTGAAGTGAAATAGTGGGTGAAATTTGCGTGACAGTACTCTGGAGCTCCGAGGACGTGGTTGTTGAGGTTGATGGTCCAGAGTTTGGCAATGTCGTCGACGACGATGAGGTCGGAGTCGAAGTAGATGATTCGATTGACGGTGGAGGGTAAGAGGTCGGCGAGGTAGATGCGAGCGTAGTTGAGGGGTTGGTCAAGGGCTCGGCGGATGGATGAGGAGATCTTGCCTTTGACGAGGTTGGTATCGAAGTGGTAGAGGTGGAAATTGAGGTAAGGAAAGGTGGTGAGGATGGTGTGGTGGAGGTCACGGCGGCGATGGGCGGCGAGGAAGTGGAAGACGGTGTTTTCAGGGCAGGTGGCGTGTTGAAGGACGGAGAATACGCCGGCGACGGAGCCGCGGAGGTAGGTGGTGTCGAGGGTCATAGCTATGTGTATTGTAGATGGGTCGTTTGGTTGGGTTGGCCATGTGGGTTTGAGACATTCCTTGCCGTTTCGGAATGCCGGAGCTTCTCTGAATTTTGGGAGGTCTCCGGTGGTGGTTGAAGCAACTTGGGAATGTTGGGTAAGGACTATGAGGAGGAGGAGGGTGGTGATGGTGGTGGCTAGGTGGTGGGGATAGGGTGGCATGGTGGTGGAGTATTTATCTCGGTGGTAATGTGGTCATGTGAAGATAAGAAGAGTCGAAGTCAAATGAATTCATGGGATGGTGAATGTGTAGTTTAAGATAAAAAATGATTTATAGCACTGTCTATTTATTTATTTTTTTTGGGCAAATAGCACTTGAGTATTTATCAAGAATTATAATTTAAATACTAGTCTTAATAATTTGAAGAGACACATGATTTATGGTGAATAAAATTATGTTATTAATTTTTTAAAAATTTTAATATAATATTAAAAATTATTAAAAAATAAGAATTTACTCACAATTTAATTTAAGTAAAGATATGAGAATATTTGGGCTCCATCTTTTAAAATCGACCCTATTACTTTTTTGTAATTGTAACTAAATCTCATTGACTCATACCTTATCATCTTGTTTGATTGAAATTTAACCTCAAAAGACTTATAATTATTCTCTATTAAGTTGCAAGTTTTGATTTAATATTTACCATGATAATGTAGTTTTTTCCATTTCTTTTGCATGGTGAAAAATCTATCCACATAAATAAATTCGGACTATCTTAAATTTTTGAAAATCTTTAAAAAATCTTCACATTTGGAAAGGAGAGGTGAATAAAATAGGAAAAAATGTACTAGTATCTCTTGATATTTTTTTAATGACACATGGATAATTGGGAATTTAATTAAAAATTAACATATTTGTTTTTGATAAATTTTGATGATTACATGTTGGTCAAGCTTAAATAAAGGGTATTAGAGATGGGATGTGCATGTTTGAGATGAATTTGATTTTGTGGATTTTACCGGATGATGAGAATTTTAATTGGATTAAATAGTGTGAATGTTAACTTGATTTATTTGTTGATCTAATTAATTATTGTTATTAATTTAATTGAAATTGTAATTTTTTTAAGATTGATAATCGAGTTAAGTTATTCGGGCTTAACTCAAATTTAATTGATATAAGATTTATAAACTGAGTTCGAACAATTTTTTAAACTTGTTTAGAAAAACGAACATAAAAAATGTCGTTCGAACTTTCAAAACTGTACTCATTTATATATAAAATAGTTGAATTACTCCAGTGTGGCTCATTTTTTTGGCTCGGCTCAAAAAATGAGTCTTGCTTGAATAATTTTTTCTAGCTCGTTTCAAAAAAGAAAAAACTTGACGCGTTCGATTCGAACTCGTAAAATTTGACTCAATTTTTAATACTAATTATAATTGATTAAGTTAATAAATAAGATAAATTTTTAGGCCTAAAACAATACTTTTTTAAAGAAAAATGTTGGATATATACAGTTGGGTGGTCGGACCATGATATTGATTGAATGCGATGGGGGGAATAATGCGAGCCAATGCCAGGCTGGAAGGGCCATGTTTGTAATGTTTGTCAAGTAGCCGGAGATCTTGTAGTGACGGTTGCATTTACGCGTTTTGTGTTTCCGTACCTTTTGGCCGTTTAACCCGTGTTAATATTACTTGTCTCAATCAATTCTATGGTACAGATTGATGCTGATACTAAACCCGTGAGCTGCGATACACGACATTATAGATGGAGAATTTTTCTTTCATAAGAGCATCCTAAGCGCGTATAATTAGTTGTACAATTTACTTGGATTGTGTTTTTTCACGCGCTAGAATGAGTAGTGGGGACTAGAGACGAATTTAATGGTGGCTTTGAGCGAGACGTTGACAAGAAAAAGTTTATTTTTTTTTAAAATTAATATTACCTAAACTTAAAAAATAGATTTAATAATTAATAAGTCTTGTATTTTTTAAGACCCACTTATTTATTTAATAATTAAAATTATCAAATATAATTTTTAAGGTCATTTAACATTATTTTTTTTTTATCAAATCTCAATACGCAGAATTGGTGTGTTTATTTAAAGTTGTTATTAAATTGAGAAATTAATTATTTTTTAACTTTAATCTACAGACCACAGAGTTTATTAGCGCCCCTAATTAAGGAGGATGCCAGAAAATTTCCCTAGCATTTGACCTTTTTAAAAACTGACCAGGTACATTTAGGGATATTAAAATATTACCTAACTTATTAATATAATATAAATACGATATAAAATTAAAGAATTTAAATTTTGTTTAAGCCACTTTCTTGATAAATAAATAGACACGACACGACACGACACGAAATAATTAATAAAATAATTGAGTATATGTGAAATTAAAGAAAAAGAAAATATATGACACAATTTATTTATTTGTTAGTTATACACGATTTATATACGATATGAACACTATTCGTTAGACACGAATTAATAAAAAAATCGGATATAAGTAGAATATTTTCTGACATAATACGCTAAGACCCGACACGAACACACCTCACTCAACACGATTAACAAACCTAGGTATACCGTTCCGATTCAGATTTCATAAAATATAGTATTTTTTTAGTGAATCACGACCATTAATGAGTGAGTATCTATTTGTATATACAAGTCTTACTTGAATTTATGATGAGTGATTTGTCAAAACAAAAAATTGAAGAGATAATATATTGTAAACTTCATTTACACCCTTTTGTAGATTCTACTATTGAATCAATGACACCTTCTGTCGTTAACATCGGTCTCTGACAAGCTGAAAAGTGGAAAACATGACTTAAATTTTGTATTTTACTTAAACTTGGTCACCTGCTTGAAGAAAACCAAGTTTGTGAAGAAAGAACGAAGGTGTGAAGATGCAATGAAGTTTTCATTTATGCTAGGTAAAACCTCTGCCTCATTTTGTGCGGTTTTTCGCTTTTTTTTTTGGCTTAATCCACTGCTGAATTTTAGGATGAATTTTAAAATTATTTTTTTTGTTTGTAATATATCCAAATTTTGGAAGTTTTTTCCCCCTCTTTCTCTCTTTGCTTAATCCATTGATGGATTTTAGGATGAATTTTTAGTTTTTTTTTTGTTTGTTTCTCATATATCCAGATTTTGTGAGAGTTTTTCTTTTTTGTTTTTTCGCTTAATCCATTGATGAATTTTTTAAATTTTGTTTACAATATATCTAGATTGATGACGTTGTTAAAGTTAGGATTCAATGTCTTCTTCATCTAGTTTTGGTGGAAGCAGAAATGTAGGAGAGGAAAATATCGATATAAGATTTACTTCTAACTAATGTTATTGTCATAAAAAATTGTGATTAAGTTTATCAAATCAGAGTAGCCCGCCAAAGGACGATCATGTAAATATTTTTGTAATCCCATACCTATTGTACTTGTACCAATGCTCCGTCAAGATGAGCAATATGGAATAAAGCATGTCAGAAATGAGTTGTATGTGGAATTAATTGAAATCAAAGACACGGTGGAGATGGGAATGAGAATGGTCAAGAGTCATGGGTTGGGTTGGGTTCTATTAAATATGTTCGACTAAGTAACTTAACTACAGTTAATTAAGGGTTTTATGAATAAAAAGTAAAGGGTGTCATTGAATATATGAACAAAGTTCACTAAAAATTAATAAATGCTATCTGATATACGTAAGGACATTTATGTAAAATGACCTTATCTGTTAACAGACAACCTCTGATGAGGGGTGTTAGTGAAATTTTAGAAGAAACGAGGGGTGTCATTGCATAAATGAATAATTATAGAAGATGTGAATGAAATTTATCTAAAAATATATGGAAGAAGATCCCACTCCCTTCATTCATGTTATCTATGAAAAATAAGGGGAATGACAGTGTATAGCCCAACAGATATTTAAATTTTTTATTTACATGCTTTAAAGATTAAATTTATTTATTTAACTCTCAATCTTAAAAAAAAAAAAAAAAGATAGTAATGTAGTCCAAAATTAAATATCTGTTGTTCTGTTCAGTATTTATTTTTTGCATTTTTTTTTGTGTACCATTACCTACATAATACACAATTTTAAATATTTTTTATGAAAAATTTATCCTACTAGATTGGATTCTTGGCCGTTATTATGCACATATTCTAACTATTTTTGATACGGAGAAATAAAGGAAAAAAGAGTTAGGAGTAAGATGGTATTTGATAACACTGAGAGTAAATGTTAATTTTTTAATTCGCAGACTTTTTGATATTAATTAAAATTTAAATATTGAATTGAATCAAACTGTTTGAAAAATATAAATAACTGAAGTTTTAAAATTATAATTATTATAATTTTTCCCTTATTTTTAACTATCTTTTCGCAATTACCTTATTCTACCACTATCATCATATTGGTGGTGGTGGTGGTGGCAACAGCAATGGAGACGTTGGTGGCGACAACACAATGGTGGTAGCAATGGCGATGACACAATGTTAGTGGGGGGCGATGACACAATAGTGTTGGCGTCAACATAAAAGTGGTGACAATGATAGTGGCGATAACTAATTGTCCAAGATAACGTGGGTATACTAACCTTTTCGCGTTCTTATGGTTACAGACTTCTAGCTGACTTCAACTAAGACTGAACTATTTAGTTATTGCACATCACTGTAAATAAATTTAAATTGAATTTTAATTAGCACGAATTTTAATAAGTAGAAAAATATAAATTTTAATCGAATCTAATTTTAATCGGCACTAACGGCTCAGGTTGAACTCAAATTAGTTAGAATTTTAATACGTAAAAAAATAAAATTTAATTAGCACGAATCGAACATGAATTTTAGTTGTAAAGTTTATAATATTTGATATTCTATTTTTAATTGAAGTATTTTTGATCTAAATATAATATCTTAAATTTAAGGGGTCTAAGTATTATCCGTTTATAAACTTTATGGGGTGTAGATATAATTTACTAACAGATACACTAATTGACATTGACGACAGAGATTTAAGTGTTACGCACGTACAAACCTTAAAAGGTTTATGTATAATATTTTAAATATCAGGAAGTTTAAGTGATTAAGTGATAAACTTTAAGAGATCTGAGTACATTTTTTTCTTTTTTATTATTTATTTTTGAAAAAAAGGTGTGTAATCTTCAAGGATCCATTTAAACCTTTTTGGGATGTAGTTCACCCATTGAATTTGACTTTTCTAATAATCAATAGGTTTCAAGTTCAACATTTATTATACAGGTAAACTATCCTTATTTCTCATGGATATTTTTAAAACTTGTTTTAATTACGTTGACCAATATTTAAGCCGGAGGGACCATTGAAGCAGCTGACTTAAGTTACATTGCCAAATGGGGGTGCCTTAAATTATGGCTTGATATAATGAGGCTAAGCCTTCCATAGTCAATACAGCCCCACCCAATAAATTTTGACCGTCCAAGTATGGCACGATGAAGAAATTGAGGCTTGTTTGGCGGTCTCATGAGTTTTGACTCATGAACCAGCTAGTCTCAATACTATTATGTATTTTTTTTTCCCAATAATAGGAAACTTGTTTGAAGCTAAAATATAAAACCACGCGAATATTCGATGCATCGATATCTAATAAATTTGAGGGTATTAAGAGAAGGTCGTGTGACAAAATCTAAAGAAAATGGAAAATGATCGGCCATAACTTTTTTTCTAAAGAGGAAATAATTGTTTTGGAGTTATCAATAAAGATAATTGTTGATAGAGGCAAAACAGTCGAATTTAGTGGCTATAAATGGTGAACAATGGAGAAGTTAAATGAGATATTTAAAGCCCCACATGACCCACGATTTGGATATTTTTAAGAGTAGTGTTAAGTTAGTTTTTAAAAGTAGTTATTGCAATAATCAATGATGTTAATTCAATCCTTTTGTAATTGAAATATCTTCGATTGAATTAATAAAGAAATCATCTTCGATGGAAAATAGAGTGAATGGAAAAGATGGAAAGAAAAATATAGGGGTGTCCAAGGCTCTCGATCATAATTTTTTTTTTTATTGGGCCTGGGTAGAGGAAGTTCAAGTCCTTACTAAGATAAGTTATTGAATAGGCTAGGCGAGGCTTTGGGTGAGAGTAGTCTACCCATAGCCTAACTCGCCACTCATTGGACAAGCCTGTGAGGAGCCCTGTTGGGGTGGGTCTATGGACCTGTTGGGTGGACCAGTGAACGGATCTACCAGACAAACTTTTTATATTTAACTTTTATTTAAAAATAATGAATATTTTTTGTAAATTACATTTTTAAATTAAAAGTATAGTTAAAATAGATAAAAAAATAAATAATGAATAACTTTATTTATAAATACGGGAGGAATTGCATCATAATAGTATGAGCACATCCCAACTAGGTTAACAGCTATTCATTCATCTATCTTTTTCAAATTTTAAATTTAATTTGTCTAATTTTTTTCAAAGGATGTTGAGCTGACTATTTGGGCTGGATTGAGTGGGCGGATTCTTGGGCCGAATTTTAGCTGTCTTTTTGCGAGCGGGCTATTGGGCTGACTTTTGGCCAGATAATAGATTTAGGAGTAA